AGTTTAGGCGGGCCCATGGGGTCCCGAAGAGTCAAACTCCACGGTGCCACCAAACAACAACAAATAATGCCATAGAGTCTACCTTCCAAAGCAGCCATTTTCTCCAGGTGAACAGATTTCTGCCACCTGGAGATCAGTTGTAATCAGTGTTCCCTCTAAGATGATCGTGGTGGGCAGCCCTCTTGGTCTGAAGCAATAGAACAAGGATAGAGTCTGGTGGCACCTTTAAGACCAACAAAGTTTTATTCAGGATGTGAGCTTTCATGTGCACGCACACGTCATCAGACATTGAAATGGAATTACCGATCATAGTTGTATACAGGGGTCATTTCCTACAGGAGCGCACAGGAGCGGAGCTCCGGCAGTAAAGAGCCCAGGCGGTGGGCACATGCAACAAGCCCCGTCCCCCTGCTCCCAGCAGCCCTCAGTCAGAGCAAGAAGCAGCCAGGTAAGTTGCAGAGCTCCCCAGGGCCCCCGGGTCCAAAACAGTCCAGTGGCACCTTTAAGACCAAGTTTTATTCAGGTACAAGCTCTCCCTCCTCTGCCAGGACAGATCTGCACGTTCATCCTCCCCCCCCCCCAATAGCTAGCAATCCAAAACAATCCAGTGGAGCCTGAGCAGTGGGTGTTGCCTTCTGACACACTTCCGGTGATGTCAGGGGGTGTGGCCTATGCAAATAAGTTATGCTCATGAGTTATGCTAATGAGCTCCTGCACCTCTTTTTCTACGAAATGACCCCTGGTTGTATATATATAGATGGCTTCTTAAATTAGCATGCAAAACAGTGAAAATATTTTTAACAGCTCAAAGGCATGACAAGCTGGTTTCACTATTTAAAATAAAGAGCAACAAAGTTTAATTCTGGCAGCTTATACCCAGAATTAAACTGTGTTGGCCTAAAAGGTGCCACTGAATTCGATCTTTGTCCTATTGGCCTCAGTAAGTAATCTGAACAGTACATATGGGTTACACTATGGACATTGTAACAGACACTTCCCGAGGACTTAAAAAAAAAGTTGCACTGGTAGAAACTGGTGTTGCCAGACTCCAGCTAGGACCTGGAGAGACCTCCCTGAATTACAACTGTTCTCCAAACTACAGAGATCAGTTTCCTTCCCTGGAGACAACGGCTGCTTTGGAAGCTGAAATCTAAGGCATTAGGCCCCACTGCAGTCCAGCCCCTCCCTCCCCAAACCCTAACCCTCTGCAAGCGCCATCCCCAAATCCCCATGAATTTCCCAGCCTGAAGTTGGCAACCCTCGCAGAAACCAATTGCCCTCAGTGGATTTAGGATGGAGTACATCTTGCTCTGCTAAAGATCTGACAGAATTGGAGTGCTATCCTATGGCTGCGGTCACATGGAGCATTAGGCACGCTAGAGGGATGGAAGATAGGCGGATTTTCCGGGCGCGATCTCACCGCCACATCTGGGAAGCGTCGAGCTCCCATGGTGAACCCGAGGTACTAGTTTCCTGAAACCGCGGGGCAAGGGCGGGCGTCTGATCGCGTTTCCGGTGGTATTTCCGGCGCCCGCCCATGTCCCCTCGGAAAAAGGTGTGTTTTTTTTCAAAGTCTCCACGGATGCGTACAAGCACCCAAGGGAGCATGCGCGCATTTGAGGGTTTTTTAACAAACCAACCCCGTTTGCCCCGTGCCCCGCTTCTTTGCCGCGCTGCAGGACTGTGGAGTGATCGGCACCTCCCCCCTACCACGGGACCTCCATCGGTAGGTCTGCTCGAGCAACCGCATGGTTTTTAGCCCCGGGGCTAACAGCCACGTTTCCCCCCCCCCCGCATTTTCCTGCCCGTGTGACCGTGACCTAGATTGGCTAAGGTCAGAAGGAGATGCCATTTTGTTCAGTGGGGCTTACTTCTAGGTAAGGGAGCAGTCCATTGCAGCCTTATTGTGGATGAGTATTCTCTTCCTCAGAAAGTTCATCTTTCGCTCCGAGGCTGCTCAGGTGTGTGGTGGTGGGTGTAACAGAGGAAGAGTTTGCTGGGGTTACATCCAGGGGTCATTTTGTAGAAAAAGAGCTGCAGGAGCTCATTAGCATAACTTATTAGCATAACTTATTTGCATATGCCACACACCCCTGACATCACCGGAAGTGTGTCAGAAGGCAACACCCACTGCTCAGGCTCCACTGGACTGTTTTTGATTGCTAGCTATTGGGGGGGGGGAGATGCAGATCTGCTCTCACAGAGGAGGGAGAGCTTGTACCTGAAGGCGGGGGGGGGTTCTGCAACTTACCTGGCTGCTTCTTGCTCCTTGTGGCCCGACTGAGGGCTGCTGGGAGCAGGGGGTGGGGCGTGTTGCATGTGCCCGCCCCCTGAGCTCTTTACTGCCGGAGCTCCGCTCCTGTGCGCTCCTGCAGGAAATGACCCCTGGTTACATCTGAAATCACTGAAGATCTGGTGTGACTTGTGAGCAGGGTGTCAGTACCAACAAGTTAACAGGTGAGGGGTTTTTTCCGCAAAGGGGGAAAAAAAGAAATCGATTTTCTGGGTAAATTTAGGGCAGGGTTACAAAACTGAAATGAGACTGAGGGCTGAATACCTCCTCCAAACAGATGCTCGGGGGTGACATATTCCAGACCTCTGCTGATGTCCACCACTCCCAGCATTCACCTAAGAGAATATCCTGGACCCAGCGGGGAAGAGAATGCTGTATGGGAGTCTCCGCATCCAAGGGTTACTCTGATATTTTTTTGACCCACCTTGCTCATGCAAGGAACTTTCAGTAGCTGAAAGAGCACCTGGAGCCACAAAGTGATTTAACTTGCAAGCTGAGGCCATTCCAACAGCAGTGGATTGACTTGCGAAGTCAGCAAGTCAGCCTGTCAGTTGTGGCTAGGGTTGCCAGCCTCCAGGTGGTGGCTGGAGATCTCATAAGAACATCAGAAGAGCCCAGGTGGATCAGACCAGTGGTCCATCTAGTCCAGCATCCTGTCTCACACAGTGGCCAACCAGTTCCCTGATGTTGCCTCCTGGCTCTGGGGTTCAGAGGGCCAGCGCCTCTGAATGTGGAGGTTCCCCTCGGTCACCATGGCTCGTAGCCATTGGTCGACTTCTCTCCCATGAATCTATCTGATCCCCATTTTAAAGCTGTTTGTTCCTGTGGCCATCTCTTGCTCTTACAACTTATTTCCCAGTGACAGAGATCAGTTCACCTAGACAGGACTCTTTTTGTAGAAAAAGCCCAGCAGGAACTTATTAGCATAATAGGCCACACCCAACATCAGAAACTCATTAGCATATTGGGCCACGCCCCTGACAGCACAGCTCATTAGCACATTAGGCCGCACCCCCATGTTACCAGGAGTGTGCTCATCCAGCCACACCCACCTTTTGCTTCTTATTCTGTTTACCTTGTTTGTTGTCCAACCAGGGCCTTTTTTGTAGCAGGAACTCCTTTGCACGTTAGGCCACACACCCCTAATGTAGCCAACCCTAATGAGTTTCTGCTGTTGGGCGTGGCCTGTTATGCTAATGAGTTCCTGCTGGGCGTGGCCAACTCGGGAGCCAGCCGGAACTCCGTTCCTGTGCGTTCCTGCCCAAAAATAGCCCTGCACCTTGAGAAAATGGCTGCTTTGGAAGGGGGAATCTATGGCATTGCACCCCACTGAAGTTATTCCTCCCAAAACCCTACTCTCTTCAGCCTCCACACACACACGCACACACACCCAAGATCTCCAGGTATTTCTCAGCCCTAACTGTGGCTGCTTGGCCCTGCCCTGCCCTGAAAACTATCACATTATGGGTGGGTTATGGTAAGGCTCAGAAATCCCTGGAGATTTGAAGGTGGAGCTTAGGAAGGGACTTCAGCAGGATATAACACCATAGAGTCCACCTTTCAAAGCAGCCATTTTCTCCAGAGGAACTGTTCTCTGTCATATCTATGTACTAATAGCCAAGTTGCCCCCTCCGTGCGGATATCTAAATCTGCACATCGGGGGCACTTGGGGGGCAGGGAGATTTTCCTGCACATTTGGGGCAATCCCCAGGTGTGCAGACAAATCTAAAAAGTTTAAAAAACTATAGGGGGGATACTTAAATCCCCCCAAAAGTTTTTTTAAAAAACACCATTCCCTGTACATGCACAGAGAATGCCCTGGCAACTGCCTCGCCGCCGGGGGAGGGACGGGAGAACGCTTGTCAGTTCTAAAACCAGGTGATCTCCAGGCCCCACCTGGAGATTGGCAACCCTGGGTGTGACACCCCACCTGCTGCAGGATGCCCATGCTAGAAGACCATGACAGAGCACCACTAGTCTCTGATTCCATCACAGAGGGAGCACAGTATGCCAACCCTCCCTAGAAGTATTCTCCTGGGCCAACCTGAAAGAAGAGAAAGCAATATCTGTTTCTCCTACTGTTCTTCCCACAAAGAAATTGAACCTTGACCCTTTAGCTGTTTTACTAACAATGGTCTCTTTCACTCACACACCAGAGTCTCACTCTGGTGACTGAATAACTTTCCCGTTTATGCTCTGTCTCCAGGAATTTCCCTCTCTGGGCTCGACATCCCGGTAGATGGAAAAGTCCCAAACTCTCTGGCCTTTCCTCGCAGGAAAGGTGCCAGTGTTCCCTCTAAGCAGAGTTAGTGTGAGCCAGCTCACAGTTTTTTAGCCTCCGGCTCACGCATTTTTGTCTTAACTCAGGAAGGGAGCAAACTAATTTCTGCAGCAGCCAAATGGCTCGCTCGCAACTTTAATGCCAGTAGCTCACAAAGTGGAATTTTTGCTCACAAGACTCCACAGCTTAGAGGGAGCATTGAAAGGGGCTCCTTAATCATCTTGGGTGCTCTTTGTTGGCCTTTTACCAGCTCTGCATTACTGTTTTTGACATACGGAGACTGGAGCGGCACACAGGGTTCCAGATCAGGCCAAGCCAGAGCTTTTGAGGCCGCATCATAGACGCAGAAATGGTCAGAACTGGTCCAGCAGGCGCATCCATTTCACAAAGATCACAGGAGAGTGGGGTAGCCGTGCCCATACAGAGTCAGTAGGTCATTTCTTGTGTCTCGATGTGGCCACGCGCCCCTCCAGTGGCCGTATGCGGAGGGAGAGCCCTCTCTTCCAACCTGTATGAGATCCCTGTCTTCCGATCCTTGAACCGGAAGAGACCTCTGAGGTCATCGCGCACCTCTTTGAGGAGCAGGATGTAAAGGAGGGGATCAGAGACGTTGCCCAAGGTGGCCAGACACAAAGTGATGTTGGTGTAACTGAAGATGTAACTCTCGAACGCACATATTTCTCCATCCTTCAGCCTCAGTTCCCGGTGGAACTTGTAAAAGGAAGTCACCTGATAAGGGACGCAGGTAAGGAAAAAGGAGGCGATGATGAAGGAGATGAAGCCATAGATCTGCTTCTTGGCTCGCTTCTCCAGGGATGCCACCTTTCTGAGCTCAAACAGAACCCTGAAGTAGAAGAAGCCCATGAAAAGGCAAGGTAGAAAGAAGGAGAGGGACATGGTGGCCAACTTGAAGTGCGCGTAGCGTTTTTCCACATGGGTGCCATCCAGACAGCTCTTGTGCCAGTTGTCTGACTGATCGGTCTCCAGGAGCATGCCGACGACGCACAAAACAGCCACCGCGAGCCAAGTAGTGACACTCAACGCGACGGCACTAGCCATGGTCTGCAGTCGATGGAAACGGAGAGGATGGATGAGACCAAAGTAACGCTCCATCGCAATCAGGCACAAGAAGACGTTCTTGGCGTAGAAGTTGGTGCGGAAGGCCAGTCGGACGGCCTGGCATGCCGCCGGGCCCAGGTCCCAGGAGTGATTGTTGCAACTCAAGTAGATCCAGAAGGGGAGCATCGAGATCTGCAAGAGGTTGGCCGAGATCAGGTTCAGGATGTAGACGGAGAGGACGACGGATCTCTTCATCTGGGATATTAAGGCCCAGAGGGCCAAGCAGTTCAGAGGCAGCCCGGCGGCCACCACTAGGCAGTACACGGGGATTTTAAAATATTTGGTGGTGTTGTAAGCTATGGGGCAGGAGCCGTTGTTGACAGTCATGGCGGTGATCGGGTCTTCAGAGCTACCCCGCAATGCCCTCTCCTCCTTCACCTTCCATATCTCATCGCCATCGCAAAGAGGGCAGAGGTCATTCTGAACGGCTGGACTCTGTACGTGTCTGCGGCAGGTGGAGGGGGGGAAAGGATGTGCTCAGGAGGGGACAATAAATCCTTGATTCTACTTCTGTTGTTTAGCAGAGATGGCTCACCCCTTCTAATCCAAATCGGCTTTTCATTGTGTTTAAAAAAGGGTCTTGTCTAGACCTGAAGGGAAACAATAGCAGAATGAATGAAGCAGGTGCCAGAGTTTGAGTATACAGTACATATTTCCCTCCTACCGATACAAAATTCAGCACAGTGATGAGCATTGTTGAAACAGGGAAGGAGCGTGTTTTGTTTTGTTTTTGAAATAATAAATTTCCAGTGTGGCTTTTACAGAGGTTTCCTCTGTATGTGTGAGAAAGAGGGGGGCGAGGAGAATGGTTAAAAGTAGCAGACGGATTAGGCAAACCTGGGTTCAAGTGTCCACTCAGAGCCAAACTAGGTTGTGACGTCCTGCTTATTGGGGAGACTGTTTCTCCTGTCAACTTAGTAGATTTCTGCTGCCACCAGGAATTAAAAAATCCATCTCTCTCTATTTTGGTAGAATGACCCAGTGTCTGGGCACTTCAGAGGACTATGTGACCCTGAGGAAGGACTGTTCCGATTGCTGGGATAAGTTTAAACAAATATTGATTTATTTATAAGAGAACAAAATAGGTTTCTGGGTATTTTTGGACTGTTTTTGAAGAAAAAATATAACTGACAAGGCTTGGCGTCACACACAGTCTCTCATACACCAAAAACTCAACTCTGACAGGCTTAGACACTCAGTCTAAACTCTCTCATAGCCACACAGGCTAAACTTTCTCTCTCATATAGCCACACAGGCTAAACTCCAACTGCTTCCTCTGTCATACAGACTCTCACAAAAACCCTCCACACTTGTCTCTTCAAGAACGCAGAATCATAGACCAGTGATGGCGAACCTTTTAGAGACCGAGTGCCCAAACTGTGACCCAAAACCCACTTATTTATCGCAAAGTGCCAACATGGCAATTTAACCTGAATACTGAGGTTTTACTTTAGAAAAAAACAACTCATACATTAATTTAAGATTATCCAAACATCGTAAGGAAAGCAATCCCAAATGCTTTCATTTACTTAAAATTATTTGGCAGAGAATTCGACACTTTAATGATGGTCTGGGCCTGGCTGGGGCGATAGCATGTGTGCCCACAGAGAGGACTCTGAGTGCCACCTCTGGCCCCCGTGCCATAGGTTCGCCACCACTGTCATAGACATCTCTCTTTCCACACTCTCAGTCATCAGCCAATCACATCACACTCACCTCCCTCTATCACTCTCTTTACAATACTGCAATCACACTAAACATTTAAAGAAACACACACACCAAAACATGAAATAATTACATAGGTGTTCACTCTTTTAAAGAGTTGGGTCTGGGTAACTCCGGTTCCCTGCAGCCACACAGCCGCTGTGGTAAATGTTCATTAAATTATAAAGCAGAGCCTCTTTGGGCTCAGAGGAGGGAAGATAGCATGACAGAGCCCATCAGATCTCGGAAGCTAAGCACGATCAGCACTTGGAAGGGAGACCGCCAAGGAAGGCAACGGCAAACCACCTCTGCTTCTCGTTTGCCATGAAAGCCCCTTGCCAGCATTCCCTCTAAGCTGAGTTAGTGTGAGCTAGCTCACAGTTTTTAAGCCTCCGGCTCACAGGTTTTTGTCTTAGCTCAGGAAGGATGGCTCCAGAGCAAACTGATTTATGCAGGATGGCTGCGAGAGTTGGACTATAAGGAAAGCTGAGCGCCGAAGAATAGATTCTTTTGAACTATGGACTGCAAGAAGATCAAATCGGTCAATCCTAAAAGAAATCAACCCTGACTGTTCCCTGGAAGGCCAGAGAATGAAACTGAAGCTCAAATACTTTGGCTACCAAATGAGAAGGGAGCACTCACTGGAGAAGAAGGCCCTGATGCTGGGAAAGATTGAAGGTCAAAGAAGACGGGGGCGGCAAAGGATGAGATGGTTAGACAGTGTCATAGATGCAACGAACATGAAATTGAGCCAACTTCAGAAGACGGCGGAAGACAGGAGGGCCTGGCGTGATCTGGCCCATGGGGTCGCGAAGAGTTGGACTCGACTCTGCGACTGAACAACAACAAAAACCAAATTGCTCACTCACAACTTTAATGCCAGTAGCTCATAAAATAGAATTTTTGCTCACAAGACTCCACAGCTTAGAGGGAGCATTGCCCATTGCTGGGGTTGCTGTGACTTGACGGCAATTTACACACACATTTGGGTTCGGAATGGCCACCGTGGGGAGGGGGAGGGGTCCTGCCTCCTCCCCCTCAGCCATTTTCCATGCTGAAAGAACATTGGCAGGAGTTATTTCCCTATTTTGTTGTTCCACGTGGAGTATTCTGTGCACATGGAACTGCAAATATGGGGGTAATCACCAATGCCTTCCATTTAAATCCTCATGGTTCAGGTTTTGCACTTGCATTTTAGTGTCAATCTATTGAACAAAAGGGAATAGAAAGGAAGCAGGCAAGGGAGGGGGGGAAACTGATGTTGAAATTGACAAGACTTTTTTTTTTGAAACTGACAAGCAGCTGCAAAGCCCCATTTCTCTTATTGCCTAACACTGGGGGATTCTCTGCTGTGGTATCAGCCACTGTGAAGAATGAGAAAAAGTCACATGTTGAGTGCAATGCTCCCTCTAAGCTGGGGAGTCTTGTGAGCAAAAATGCTAGTTTGTGAGCTCCTGGCATGAAAGCGGTGAGCCAGCAATTGGGCTTCTGCTTAAATTAGTTTGCCCTGGAGCTGCCCTCCTTCCTGAGCTGAGACACAGATGTGTGAGCCGGAGGCTAAAGAACTGTGAGCTGGCTCACACTGACTCAGCTTAGAGGGAACACGGGTTGAGTGTACAGAATGCACAGTAGAACCCACTGACACTGGTATTGCAAGCTGTGATCATTGGCAGTGTGTGTGCAAAGTCAGCTGCAACTCCACCACACTTTGCACAAGGCTGCAATTAATATGGGAGAGGATTTGGCAGAATTTCTGGAAAGATTTTTTAGTCTTGTGCCACTAAATTGAAAAAAAAAATTGTTGGGGGTATTTTTGCCAATGCCCTAGCACAGCTGCATAGTAAGGATCGCTGCCCTTCCTTGCAAATTCCTGCCCTTCCTTGCAAATTTGCCTGTTTTTCTCTTTTGTGATTCTCTAATTTGCTCCTACACACTGGTCATGATCTTGGCAGTTTTTAAAAGCCTGTCTTGTGCTGACTGCACTCTGTCCTCTAAATGGGTCAATCCCACGCAATTCTTAAGCTCAGAGGTTTGCAGAAGGTCCATGTGGCTGAGCCACCATTTTAACGTTAGGCTTCCAGAAACTGCCAAAATGTCCCTCCCCCCAAAAAAATTGTTCACTAAAGCATTAAAGGGGAAGATGTTTTCAAAGCTTTAGGCTTCCCATTTCAGTGTCTTTCTCTTTTTACATCTCATGTCAATTTCATTCTGCACTGACATTCCCCCCTCCTTTATTTTGTTTGCATGCAACACTGAAATCCTTTTTTTTTTTTGCACTGGGGACTCTGCCGTTTGTCACCTCTACGATCCCCCCCCCCCTTTCAAGTCAATACCAGCAGGGAACTAAACCTCGTGCAGCTCCTTTTAAACTTTCCCCAGTCATTTAATTTTTTTTTTAAGTCAGCGATCCGAGACAATTGATAGTCTCATATTGATAGACTCATGCCACTTGTCAATTAAAAAAAACACAAAATGAAAACAATGAGGGGGGAAATGGAGCTTGTACATCGACAAAGGGGGAAGGATGGCAGAAGGTGAAGAGTGGGCAGAACGACCTCGATGTGGGCGAGGGAGTGACCTTCAAGAGGTGGCAAAAGGGTGTGGGGGGGAGAATACGAGGGACTCTGTACACTTTTGAATTACCTTCGGCTCGGAAGCGAAACAAGGGGAGAATCGGCACAAAAGCACTCTCAGAAAACCCTGGGAAATAACAGCCAGAGAGCGAACTGAGTGCTGAAGGGAGGGAAATCAATTTAGAATGACAAAGAAACCCCAACGGACATGCACGGTGAAAGCGCGGGAAAACACCCGTGCACAATAGGCCTTTAATCCTTTCCTCCACAAGCATTTTCTCACTGGAAAATATCTTCAAGTCGCTTTTACTTCTGTATTCTCTCTACCCCCTTCCCCAAGAGGGAGGAAGGGCAGTTTATGGATGTTTTTTTTTCCCCCAGAGGAGAAAAAGCCTGAGGAAGAAAGGGCTACTGACTCTCTTCTCTGCTCCCGTGTCATTCTCCTCCTTGCTAAAGCGATCCTGGAGGCGACACATCCAAAGATAATTAAATTAAAAATTAAAAAGTAAGCACAGATGAAACGAACACATAGCTGAGCCCACCTTTGCGGTTAAATTTAGCAGGAACTGTTTCGCCTATGGCTCTGGACTCCTAGGAGGAAGGATGTGGTGAAACTGTAATACTAAAATAACCACGTCCACATGTGCGCCCAAGAATGTAGGGATCCTCGTAAACTCTGTTCTGAAGATGTCTCTGTAGCCTGGGAGACCTCTGACGTTTTCACTGCTTTATATTGCCCCATAAACTCAGCCAGCGCAGGGGGTGTCAAAAAGGGCTTTGCATGAAATTTCACTGCAGTTGGAATTTGCATGTGATGATGGTACTTTGCGTGCATGTCGAGGTTTGGCGCCCATCCAGGCTGATGAGCACGGACTTCCAAGTAATCAAGGGAAAGACACTTTACTCATGCTCAGAGGTGCCCTGCTCTCTGAATCTAGAAGATCCCACTTATTTTATTTTGGTTTGGTGTAGTGGTTAAGTGTGTGGACTCTAATCTGGGAGAACCGGGTTTGATTCCCCACTCCTCCGCTTGCCGCTGCTGAATGACCT